TGAATGTGTTTGTTTACATTTCGGTGAGAAGTTGGAGGAGAGACCCGGCACTGCTGCCTCCTGAAGATTATTAACTCTGCATTAATTGGGGTTTGAGCGTACGGTAATGGCAAGCCCAATTTTGTGTCGATTTTTCCCTTCTTCGTTGTTTCGGCGATTCAAGAGTTCTGGTTCAATGAAGTATTTGAATATTATGAAGTTTCCTCGGTCTCGGCCTTTGATGTTGGACCTGGAGTCCAGAGGTCGAGTGGGAGAAGGTGGATGGAAATAGGTTAGATAGGTGGGAGCAGTAGTAGAAATTTGGGGTCAAGTAAGTGGAAATAGGTAGAAATAGGGAAATAGGGAAAAGGGAAATAGGGGGAAATTGATGTAGTTAGTGGATGCAGACAGAGTGGGTAAAAATGGGTTTATTAAAAGAAAATCAGTGAAGAGATAAACATAAGATATGGTGAAGTAGATGGAAATAGGTGAATAGGTACATGTAAGTGGTGCTGATACCTGGAGAGGACATAAATTAAATTAAGGAAATTATAGGGTAAAAATATATGATATAATATTATATTGTCATTTTACCTCACAATTTCCCTGGTAATTTTCATACACTCACTTGCTACCAGGGCCAAGAATGCCAGACTAGAGTATTTTTCTTACACGATGAATATTACATTTTTTCATGTGGAAAACATATTTTTGTCTACATTTGCATGGACGAATCTGCGGATGGGTGATGAAGCATGTGCGTGGGAAGGTCAAGAGAATTTTATGCACCGAAGATTTTGTAGGGCTTGTCGGTAAAATTACCATGGCGATCTGTAAAGTGACAACCGGTGTCACCATAACTATGGTGGTCTGGCAAAGGCAAGCACTATGCATATTTTGGCAAGATAGAGTTCAGTTAGTAAATTGCTGAGGTCTTATCTTACAAACTCTCTTATGCAAAAATATACTGTAAGTGGTGGAGGTATAGTATAAAGGTTTTGGGGTTGCATGAAGCCCTTTCTCTTAAATTTCCATCCAATATCGACCCTGTAGTTGGTATATATATATGAAATATAATCCGTTGATACCTAATAGATATTAAATATCCGTAATGAAATATGAGAAAGGATGATTAATGTATGTAATATGATTTTCATTTATTCATACTGAAAATTTACCTAGACCAAATTTTCAAGTAAATGGAAAATGATGTATGGCTTTCCAAACAGGAGGGATGTATATGCATTTTTAGTAGACGGTAACTTTTACAGTCTTCTTATTCTTTATATTTTGTAAGGGAAAAATCTGAGTAATTATTGCATTTGTATTTTTTTCTGTGATGTTTATTGTTCTTTTTAATTGAAATTTATAATGTATTATTGACTGTTCCTATCCCATTAGAAATATCATTAAACTTATGGAAAAAAAAATTATGTGAGAATTGTACCATGTGTTATTTTCACAAACTTAACATTGTTTAGTTACAAGTTTGATAATCCATTGCAGATGAATTTGTAAGCCAGGGAAGTGCCAGTGAATAACAGGAGAAACATGGAGGGAAATTCAGAATCCCAGGATCTGTTGGTACAGCAGGAACCATCAGGTGGCAATGTGAATGAGGCATCTGATGTGTCTGATGATTGCCACGACAGTAGTGAACAGCTTTCCCTTAGTCCAGGTTGGTACCAGGCTTAATGGTTGTTCTCTCTAGTGAGGGCCATTATTTTGTAAGAGTTTTCGGAAGCATAATGTGATGGACTTTACATTTGTCACTATTGGCGTGGAAAGTATTTATAGCATTCTGGATTAGGTGTCATTGGGATGGAATTACAATTTTATTCTGGTAATCCCCCAAAGATAAGTATTTAGCTTTTGCAGTGTGGTATGATTACAGATTCATAGATAACACCTGTAAATCTAAGCTTTAAAATTTCCACCTTACATTCCATGAATATTGTTTAACCTTAACATAAATATTACATTTCTCTGTTAAAACTGTTGTGCTTGCTAAAGGGTAGTTGTTTTTTCATGGAGACTGCTATGAAATAATGCAATATTAGAAACTGAACACTACATCATCAATAGACTTAAAAATGTATAAAGAAAAACACCTAGGAAAATATAGTATCATTACTGCCTAACTTTTTCCTGCACAAGTAAAGGAGGATGATAAATAGTGTTATCAGAGAAACCTGTTCTTGCTAGAATATTACATGGTGATGAAGAAGTAGCCAAACAGACTGGGAAAAATAAGGTGAACTGGTGCCACATTGAAATCTGTTTACTCATGACATTGTTGTATCAGTCCTATCTTGAACATTTGTGTTCTATCCCTGAGGAAAAAGGGGCACACACCAGTATTAGAAAAAGGGTATGTTTTAATTTTTTTCAACAAATTTGTATTTGTGTTTATTTTTTAACAGCTTAGATATGATATCAGTACTGTCATGGGTTAAAGTATGGTTTTGTTAATAGTCTACTTAAGTTAGAACTTTTATGTTACATATGCTTCTGCTGATAAAAAATTAAGTCTGTACCCATTGAGTTTGCTATGATAAAATAAGGTTGCTTATTTTGCGTAATTTGATCTTATGTTTTTGTGTATGGTAATGATAAAATAATTTAGTAAGGTAGAACATCTATTTAGTAAGCAAGGGAATAAATAAGTTTGAAAAGATTTGAAATGCCACCATGTGAGGCGAAGTCTGCACCGGGATGTAAGCGACGGGTGGAGTGTTTGTGTTGGTCTTTCGAAGGGAGGACACATGTGAGATTCTTGAAAATTGTGGTGTTTTGGCTTGTAAGGAAGATTTGTGGCAAATTGTTATGTAAGAATAAGTCTCACATATCCTTATATTTTTCACATAATGAGTTTATCGTGCCAGTGAGAATTTAAATGATTAAGCTAGCCTACATGTGGGTGGAGCTAGCCTTGGCTTTTGGCAAATGTCAGACTGTGTGTGTTTATCTTATTTTTGGTTGGGATTAATCCTTTGATTCTAATGCATATTATTCACATTTTGTATTGAGAAGATTATTACTTAATGAGTAATCTGATTTAAGATTTCATTTGGTTTGATTAAGGTGCTGTTTACATGACTGCTTAAGTGATGTGTTGTAAACATTTAAACTTTTTGGCTATTATTGGTTGTGGGTGTTTGATATTAAGTTCCTTCTGGGATTTATTCGTGTTGCAATCCATTTCTATTTGATATTGCTCACCATTTTACTAATTTCCAATTTCTATTCAATATTTGATCATTTCTTTTTGTGCTGTTTACTATATTACTATATGAAATGATTCATTGGAAGTCTTGCCTTTAAGAAATTATGACATCAGTGTTACAGTACATACTGCAGAAGTTTGTTGAAAAGATTGTTTAAGGTTTTTATTATATAATTCAGAATAAGCTCTACATTTGGAAAGTATCAATAATTTAAATCACCATTGATGCCGAACCAAAACAGGAACCACATTAAACCTACAATAAGCTTTTCTGATATTACTAAATGCTATGAACTTGTCTCTCAAAATCAACACACCAGCTGGGTCTCCAACTGAAGCCCCACCGTCCTATAAGCCTGAGCCACAAGTGCCTGATATCCCCTCATCATCCGTCACACACGATGCCGCCATCGACAACTGTACATACAACGATACCCCAGAAAGTATGGGTCTGTGCTTGCTTCATTATCTTTGATTTGTTATATGTATTATTTAGTAAGTATTTTCATAAAAGAATGTAGTAAATTGATAGCACATTTGTTTATTTGTTGGCCTTGTAAGCAGATGTAGCATGCATTTCTTTTCTGACATATACAATTTTAATATTGCATTCAAGATTTGGAAAAGGATGTATTATAAATATTCATAATCTATTATGTATTCCTACTGTAATCTATTTGCATAGGTGAATTTTTGATAAATACCTTACAAATTCACTTTATTTTCCTTCTATGACAGGAGAATACTGTGATACCAACAATGAAGTAGGAGACAGTTATGGTGATGGAGAATGTGCCACATCCACTAATTATGGTTCACGTGTGGGCCATAGTCGCGGTGCTAGCCAAGTTTCTTCTTGTGAGCCATCAGTTTGCCGTATGTCAGGTAGTTTTTGCCTCTTGAGTTTCATTACTCTTAAAGTGGAAGTACATTTTTATTATGTTTACCAACTGTTGCTTGCAATTTAACTTTCTGCTAATGTTACACATTAGAGTCAGTGAGAGAAATGCATTCTTTCAGGTCGTGATTTGTGCCATAGCAGAGGAGCCAGCACAGATGGTTCAACTATGGAGGCTTACCCTTATTCTGCTTCTGAAAGCCGACGGGGCACCTACAGTGAAGCAGGAACACTGCCTATTGGTTAGATTCTGTTTTGGATTATCTGTTTAGAACACTTCGAATATATAGAGATGTGTATAGTGGATGTTTATCATTTCATGAACTGTAGTAGACATGTATAACCATTATTCTTTATATAATAGTATGGGCATACACGTTAAGGTGCCATTTTATACATTTTGTTTTGTGTCATCATTTAAGTTCAGGTTTTATTGTTTTGTTGATAAGTTAAAGAATTTATACATCTTAAAAAAAAACTCTCAGGGTCAACAATCATTGAAGAAAATATGCAAGGCTGGGATCGCGAATCAGAGAAAAAGCTGTCAGATAGTGAAGAAGTAGGAACAACTTATTCAAGGAAACTGGTATCCTTCTGTGATTGCTGTCAGTCAGTTCTGCGCAGCCAACATCAACTGAGAGAACATCCAACAGCATTGGAATTGATAAAATATGCCTTCACTTGCCCACCACACGGAAAGGTACTGTAGTATCATTACCCATCATTATTCTACTCACAGAAAAGTTTTCTCGTATTATTTCTATAAAATTTTCCAAATTTCTTTACGTCTTTTCTACTCCTCAACTTTTCTCTTCTTTCTGTCTTATTATAGTAAACAATGTTTTAGGCAAAATGTCAGGCAGAAATTGCACTTTAATGAGACAAGATTAATCCAAT